GTTATAAGTGAACATAACCAGCTGGTACACTTGATTGGCAGCAACTTCAATTATATTTAATTTAAAACATAATGAAGCTACAATTGATACTCTTTTACATGTGATCTTTTTTTATTGCTTTTATACGCAGATCAATCGCAATGGAAAATAATAATGGTAAGAGAGGGTAGCCATACTGCAAATAAAACTGTTGATTATTATTGTTATCTATGTAAACAATTGCCATTGGGAGAAGTAGAGTTACAGTATGATCATAGGTCTAAATCCATAATATAGAACACAAGAAAGGAATATATTTCCAGTATGAGTGAGAAATGAAGAGAAAGACAAAACATCAGTCAAACATAAACTTGCTTATAAAGAAAACTATTTGGAAATGGATACATACATACTCTTATACTAACTTAACCCCTACCACCAGAAGAATAATAAGCATGCACAACACGCACTGTGCATAGGCCACCAAGGGCAGAGAGAGCACCAAAACTGCCTAATCATAATTAATCATAACAACCATAGTGTAATATGTGTCATTTATGGCCATGTTTGCTTCTGTGTCTCTCTGCAGGACAGAGAGCGGGGCAGCTCCACACACATAGACACACACACACACACACACACAAACACAGAGCATACAGGCCACTGTGCAGTTTTCTTGAGTTGACGACAACTCCCAAACCACAACATTAATTTAATCAGTTTTGCAGTAAAATATTTCCATACAAGATTCGATTTCATATGCGGGAGACCTTGGAGGATATGAAAAATATTGTGTTTTGTTCTACCTCCGCTAGGTATCTCAGGATTTAACAGCCATTAATTCCATTAAGATAAGCATGGGCCTCTCATGGACTGGTCATGGATGCCAAGAATTGCTGGCTGCATCTGTACATTGCATCTATACATCCATTCATTTAGAATACTGACATTTTAATTCTGTTTAAGGAAAGTCCATCTTGGATAAACTGGATTTTTCACAGTAGCCATTTTGACATGAAATAGCCAACTAAACACAGGTGTTACCAATGATACTAATTAAGGTTCTGTTCCATTTAGGTCAGCCAGTGTCAGGGTGCTGCTGTTCTACATATTGGCTCACTGGAACGGCTCTACTACGGTGGCCCAGAGGTGTCAGGCCAAATAGAAAGGCCAGAACACAAATACAAAAGCCACAACAC